CCGCCATGTGCCCCGAGGTCATCATCAATGTCTTGCCTATAGCAATAAAAGTCACAAAGAGAGAGGGAATGCTCAGGAAAGATGTTTCCAGTGGGAAGATAACAACGGGTCTAAACAGAGCAATCAGCTTTTACTCGCCTAAACAAGTGTGAAAGCCATTGATTTTCCATGAGACTAGAGTCATAACTTTAAGATGTTTTGCTTCTAAGAGGATTGTTCTTTCCCTTTTTCGGTTTATACTTGTTGCCCGAAGGGGTGACTGTCCCCCAGCTGAAGTTTTCTCAAAGGCAAATTCCTCCTGAGCACGCTCGCTGGTCTAAGAGCGAGTTTAAGGAGTCGGGGTAGGTGGTCGTAGTTTGGAGGAACAATCTTCTTTGTTTGTCAAGGCCAGAAAGATGAGTGGCATCGGCCTTCATGCGGGACTGAGAATATGATTCTAGGTCCGACTTCACCTGTGTGGTTTTCTTGTGCAATTTATCTTTATAGATTATCTTTCCGCCATGCAGAGGCGATTTCTCCTCAGGTAAGGCCACTAGAAACAACAGAAATGAGGATTTGGGGAGTAGCAGAAGTCTGACAACACGTTGTTGATTTTACGTTCTTCACCAAAGTACTTGAAATTGAACGACCGAGATCTACAGGGTTCTTCACAAGACATCGTCGTTTCGCCTCAGAAAAAGATACTTTCTCCGCCACTCAGATCTTTTGGATTTCCCTCTCCCTCATATGTAGGGCACCTGTTCGAGTGCGGCACATGGTCTCCTTCACAGTTAACACAGCCAATTTGGGAGGCACATAGATCCCTATTGTGAGTGGATTAGTAGCACTTTGCGCAAACAGGGCTTACGGCCATGCAATGTTGTTGGGTATGGCCGCACCTCTGATACTTGAAGCAACGAAGGTTTGTCGCATACTGCCGCACGTGGAGATTATAAAACTCACAACTTAGCCCCTTTGGGAGAGAGACGAGATTAAACGTAGATATCAGAGTAGGAGTAAGGATCTTTCTCCCATTCGCCTTCATCTTGATCCTAAACACCTCCGTTACGTCCCGACTCTTAAAGAAAGACATAAGTTCCTCCTCCCTTTTGGACGCAAAGTCATCGTGATCAATAACTCCCTTACATAGGTTAAGGGTATGGTGGGCACTTCCACCTGGAGGCTGGCAAGCTGCTTAGTTTTTGAGATTTTTTCGATATTCTCTTCGGACGGATATAATGTGAAGAATTTGTCGCTCATGTAAGTATTAACGACGTGGGAAAAGTAAAAAATCACGTTTTTTAAAAAAAAACAAAAGACTAGAACAATATGGCGTATGTGATCTCACATAGTACATTTAGCTCTACCCCTACAAAAAGTTTAAAGAAAAAAATTGTAGTTGTTTTTGAGAAAATCTTGTTATTGCAATTTTTGAAAAGTTACACATATCGTTCGCAATAGTGCGCGAAAACTACTAAAACTTTCAAAATAATGTACATGACCTTATCACAAAGAGGACGGCACCTGTCATTTTGACGGGTGGCCTACTTTTAATCAAAAAGTGGCCACAACATATGTAGTTTGTAAATTCAGCACGTTGTGACTTTTAATAATCATATTCAACACATTTAAAGAAAAATAGCCATGTACACTGAAATGTAACGACGATATTATGACTGCTCAGCCAGAGCCGGCTGAAGCAACGTCGTCCAGAGAATGGAAGACATCTCGTTCGCACTGCAACGGAGTGGCGGCGCGTGGCACTTGGAGGAGACCGCAACATTGATGCGTTGGGGAGCGTCCGAGGGGTGAACAGGGGAACGGGGGGGGGGAGGGGGCGGTACGAGGTAGTACCAGTTTTCATTTCCTTTGGCACCGCTACGTAGTACTGTGCGCATAAAAAATGTTCTTGTACGTGTGATAAGCTGGCTGACTTTGAATTCGGAGCAAGACCTACTATAAAAAATATTTTGAAAAACTCAAAGGTAAATATAAAATTGGATATAGAACAGTTTACGATGAAGAAGAAAGACTTATTCTTGTAACGTTTATGATGCTAATGAGCGTAATTTGATTTACAGAGCTTTGTTAGTATATGAGAGGGGAAAAAAACGAATAAGTTTCTGGGGCGGTTGGAACATTTCTCGTCTACCGAGGCGCATGGTCCGAGAATCTACAGCGAGGTATCCCGTTACTCCACGTTCTTCGAAGGTGGCGCGAGGAAACAGACCTCGTCTCACAAAAGTAAGATTGTTGCTATTTTATTCAGTGGAGGAATTAGAACAGATTTGTGAAACCAATAAAGATTTCATACATTTGTATAAGGTAGTTAATCAATTCAAGTAACGTGAAAAGCCGTTACAAAAATGCTGCATTTCATTGCGTGAGTAATCTCTTCGGTTTCCATTGCGACAGCATGGAACCTTAAATCAAGATGAAATAGTTTGAATCAAAGAAAGGTAATAGATTTTGTTGATACAAGTAAAAGAGGGAATAACTAGAGTTCAGTGTATGAGTACCTTTAAAAATATTAATAATCCTAATGAATTTGATTGTAAGTTGAGACAGGATGTTGTAATTGAGTGTGATTGCATATTGTTTCCGAATTATGTTTCCTCAATAGAATTTAAAGGATATTTGTTTTTTGTTTTGTTGTTGTTATACGTTTTTATGCCTTTTTTAATATATGTGTTAAAGAAAATCGTGGTCTTATTCAAATTACAAATTCTCAAGTACAAAAATTATATGTGAAGGTTACAAAGTAATTAATTGGGCAGACGTATTGCGGTTTGTCCAGCTACCTAGATTTCTCAATAACCGGCACTCGTGTCAGGGAGTGTTGGTGTTTGATGCACCACCCATGGATCAGCCAAGACGTTTGGTTTTTATAAACCGAAGTGAGAGTGGTGGTTGCTTCTGGCAGCACTACGTTCGGTTCGAATAACCGGGTGGGTGCAATATTTATAAATACTACAAAAGGGACGAAGACCCGTCGTTTTGATGGGTGTTAGGCATTTGCCTAACGTCTTTGGCATCCTGACCGGGAAAAGTAAATAAAAACGTGATTCTTAGTACATTGTATCAAACTGAAGTTATTAATGAAAAAAGCTCCAAAAAACTTCCAGAGACTGTACAATTTTATAATGAAACAATGTGTGGCATTGACATACTTGATCAAATGCGCGCTTGTATACAGTCAAATTCGGGTATAAGCGGTGGTCAATGTACGTATTATTCAATGTTCCAGATACCGTGGTCATCAATGTACTATGTATACTATACACGGAGGAGAGTTAAATATCTCGTCCCGATTGTATTTTGAAATTATTAGAAGAATTAGCATCTGTTTACGTAACACAACCAAAGCAAAATATTCCCCGAGCAATCAGCACTCTTCAGAGTAGTGACATTCGCAAGACATTCGGGATTGGATCCTTCCTGATAGTATGATGTAGCGGCACGAGCAAGTACAGGAACTGCAACAAATTTGTGGATCGAGTGCTGGAACCATCTTTTATACTTGTGCACGCTGCTTTAAAGCTTATGGAAGGTTTGATTAATTAAAATTTAACGAGTATCAAGAACTTCACATAACCTTTTAGTTCTGTTAAATATTGACGTTATCTACTATTGTAAGTTTCTATTGTTACATAAGAAAAATCTACAATAAAAGTCTTTAATTATACAGAAGGTAATGTTACAATCCGAATTAGCGCAATGCCGATTGCGCTAAAAAAACGCGTACCCGTCCAATTGACGGATTCGTCCTACTAGGTGTAAAGGAAATCGCAGTCTTCGCGTTAATGAAAAATTAATAACTGCTCCAACTGAAATTGCTCCAATTGGAACGAGCACTCACCAAAATCGGTGACGTCTGTTGAAACGTGTACAATATTATACGACTAAATTCAAACTGATCGCACGATAGTGGCATACAAACCGGATATTGTTATCCGAGATTTGGAGAAAAAACGTTTCTACTTGCAGAAATTGTTGTGCCCTGTGATCGAAATGTCTTAACCAAGAAAGCAGAAAAACGTTTAAATTATAAGCGTTTGGAAATCGAGAGCAGCAAAATGTGGGGCATAAAAGCACAGGTCCTCCCGATAGTTATCGGAGCTCTGGGATTTGCTCACCTAATTTTGTGTACGAACTTGGCTAAACTCCCAGGTCTTTCAAAAGACTGGAGAGCAAGAAATTGTTTTAGTTGGAACAACCCACATTTTGAGCAAAATATTGTAGTGGCACCGGCAGTCTCCAGATCTGTTCCTTTGAAAGCTGGTTGCAATCCAGAGTAGATTTTATATTCATCCGATCCATAACATCTTTACTCCTGAATTAGATAAATAATATTAACAGTATACCCTTGCCAATACAAACTTATTTCACTTTTATTGCCGATCAGAGAGGTACACCTACGCAATTCAATTGCGTAGAATATAAAGTATTTAGTTTAATTTTACACAGCTGCAGATTCTGAATAGGCTCTGAACAGATTGGGTAGAATCCATAAGCACCGAACCAGCAAAACTGTAATAGAATGTCCAAGATCTCACCTGTAGTATGGTGTATACAATGCTTTAAGGGCCTAAAACGCTTTGTTTTAAGTTACATAACTATAGATTTCAATGCAGTCCGAGTGCTGCGGGTTGCATTCGACACGAATATTTATGTGTATTTCTACACATACTTCATTTTTTTTAAAGCAATTCGGCATATCTCCGCGAAATTCTCTTTTTAGGAACCTCAACTATAAAGATTAGTTGCGTGTGAGTGCTGCAAAACTCGTCTACACTGCTGAAATAATATCGGAGAGGATTTGCTTCAATAATGAATTTAATATCATTACCAATAGGATGACAAAATAAATTAAATCAAATTAAATATTAACGACGTTTTAATAATCTTTAAATATTATACGACATTTCTCCACTTTTGTCACAGCACAGGAATGAATTCAAAGTATTCCTATCATGACATAACATTATTAATCCTAAATTAATAATTAGATAAAAACTTACCAGCATTTGATGGAAAAGAACAGGGGCCTTCCTCTGCACCGGAATGATCCACAGCCGAATGAACATTTTGTCTGTCTGTTGTGCGGAGAGGCCGTGAAGTACTAGCCTCACGCGTTGCAGGACCAGTAGTGCGGCTGCTGCTCTCTGCTAGACCCCCTCCACTGCCTCCAGCCCGACGACGCTTTGCTTTTTGTTCCGTCAAACGATCAAGTGGCAGGTCAGTGAGGTCTAAATTGTAAACGTGTCTTGCCAGTACACGAGTCAGTGTTTCAAGTGTTTTCTACAACAAAGAAATGAAAACACATTCACTTATATTGTATACGGTGGTTTTCCAACTGTCAATCAGTATAAATGAAAATATTCTAGGACATAAGGAATTTGAGTAGAGGATCACGGGCATGTTTTACTTGCTAAATATATTTCGAATTAAGGTAAAAATAAATTCATTTCGAAAGTAGCTTGACACGTTATTATATTAATTACGGAGATTGAGAGAATTGAATGGTAGGAAACTTAATTTCGTAAAATAAATAGGAATCATGTATTTGGTAAAACCTTTAGTTTTCTCTCCAAACACAGGCTTTATTAACTTAAGCGAGGGACAAATGTACTACATCTGTACTAAAACTACCATAGAAAATGAAAATAACATAATTTTGTGGAAAAATTTTATAGCGTTTTGTAGGGGTGACATCATTGTCTCTGAATGAAAACAAACTGGGAAGCCAAAAACTCACACCTTCGGAACATAAGTAATTTTATCAAATTTATTTTACATGTTCCATTAACTTCCTTTAATGATAGACAATTTTCAGTCGTATTTACAGATATAAAATATGCACTTCCTTAAAATGTACGATTGAAATGCATCTTTCGTGTATTCGCGAACACTGCATTTTTTAATTTACATTTATATACTCCTGTAATATACGACATACCCGTACAGCCAAATGTTGAAGACTTTTGTAGACTCGGAACCGCGAACATCGATGTGTCTTTCTCTGCTGCGACGTAGTTTCGAAAATATTGAGAATTGCGTTAAATAATGATCCCCATTCACTGATCTTTTGTTCGGTTTATTATGTGTATGTATGTATCGGTGTGTATGACGCAGTTCTCGAAGCACACTTATCTATTTCGCCTTTCAGATCGCCTCTATCAGGTCTCAGCCACCCGCATTCGAGCAAACTTTCCCGTACCGGATCTCTCGAGTGTTCCTGCACATAACTTTTAACCTCGAGCATCTCGCTACCCCCTCCTGGCAGGACGGTTGCGATAAATCCACGTCCTCCTCTCCTGGGAGAGGCTGCCCTCGGTCAGTTTTGCATTTCCTTTACGGGCCGTTTAGCCCGCACGCCCATCTTAGCTCTAATTAAACAGGGCGTTGGAAAGGATAATGGATGATTGGTAGCTGGGGCTATAAAAAAAAACACCATGTTATGTACAGAAATTTTGACAAACATCCCTGCCTTATGACAAATTCTAACACGCCATCCGTACATCGGTCGCTGCCACTACCGACGATGCCACAGAATGGCGGTTAGATTTAGTATATTATATATATATATATCATAATAATTAATATATTATATATATATATATAATAATATCAATATATGTAGCCGGTACAGAATATTCAGATAAATTCCTATTGAGTAAAAGCAGACCTAAGGAATTTTTTACTGTAAGAAAAACATACGGGCGTCACCGCGCAGGCCCTTTCTTCAACCGACCACGGTCCCCTGAACCCATTTCGATAATGTTTTGGCACCCCACCCAACAACCCGAACCAAAAGGGTAAAACTAAAGCGCCAGCCGAAAGCCCACAGCTGAATACTTCCGAAAAACGCTCTGTCATCGTAGTAATACGAGAATCCCAAAGCAATAATCAGTACTGAACACCCTCAGAACATGACCCACTTTCGAAACAGTGAACGGAAAAATTCATACTTCGAACCGGGAAGCCTTATTGGCCAAATTTAGTGTACAACGCCATCACCCTTAGCCAATAGCAAGCAGTCTTTTATAGGGAGCATGACACATGAGGAGAAAGGTGGAGAAGAGTGTAACCTTCGTGCGTGACAGAAACAAATACATTAGGACCGAGTAAAGACTTCTCTGTGGGCGGTCGCGCGGGAAGGCGAGTGCGAAAGATTCACTGTTAAACTAGCATACATCGGACAGTTAGACTGCTCTGGGCGTGGAGCCCGGTCCTCTGTACAGAGAGGAGTGCACCTCTAGGACTGGCATTCACTCCGAAGTTTCATTATGAGAGAAGTGCAAAGGCACTTACCGGGGATAGGCAATCTCTTTAGAACCACTGCTTATACACTACAAACACTTCGCATCTCACAGATGAAAATTTGTATCGAGACGAACCGGCAGACAGCGTCCCGAGAGACAACTTCTCGGGGCAACTCCCTGCCACTTAATATCGGGGGTCAATCTAACACCCGGACGATCTTAACGACTCCGCCGAAGCAGCCTCCAGACGCCCAATTCGCTGATGTCTGGACCCGCCGCAGACCCCGCCAGCCCCGCCCCACCTTTGTTGAAGCGTGCCGGCGCGTATGAAAAGGACACCCGGCCGCCCACCAGCTGCCTCGCGCCGCAAGGCCTACTGAGCACATTTCACGAGGTTCCAGGCAACTTAATCAGGTCAATAATGCCCTTAAGACTATGTTAAAGCGGCGCGCTGAGGCACAGAAAGGTCCTCAGGGACAAATTTTAATTGTACTAATAGAAAATTGTACCACTCTCTTAAGTTGTAAAGTTCTTCTTAATTTCTAATCTTTATATTATTTTATTCACCATTTCTTTTCACGATGTAACTTCCCTGGTACAAGCCCTCGCCAGGAAAAAACATTAATCTTTTACCAGTAAACCAAATTGTTTGTTGAGATGCCCATGCATGCTTTCCTTACAATCCTTCCATCCACTGAATCATATGAGTAAGGGAGTAGGACCGACTGAGCTAGAACCGGGCCGCTAACCGCGCGTTGGTTGTTACAATATATATTTCCAATTAAGGTAAAAATAAATTCATTTTGAAAGTAGCTTGAATCAATGAGCATGAAAATGAAAGATTGATGGCTCCAAGCTACGCTAGAAATTACTCCGACCTGTAACACCAGTCGTCCAGAGTTGACAATGTCTTTATTTAGCTATTAAACTACATGTATCTGGCATACATAATGGTTTCTTGAAACAAATATCTACAGTTACAAACCTGCTTATTTTTACTCAATTTAATATCACCCTCCTTGACTATAAGTGGACAAGTAAGTTGTAGTGTACATGACTTCTCTAATGCCATCGATGCTTTAGAGCCATATTAAATAGCTGTTAGATATTTCTTATAGTTATTTATGTTTGCTTGAAACTTACTTGAAGACTTGAGCTTTGCTTGTGCAGAATGCAGGGAATTTATTGGAGTTTACCCTGTTACCAGGTGTCGAAGATTTCTTAAATATCTGGAGTTTAAAGTAACTGACGCACACCCCGGCAGAGACACTGAAAACTAGTATCTTTTATTTAAATTCAATGTTCCGAGCCTGGCTGACAGGACAAAGCTGACAAGTAACATCGGTTCTAGGTTAAATATATTTTCAACTAACCATGATCGACAATGCTAACAATTTCACAGCCAATTGCTCTAACGATATTTATTTATTCGTTGATTTTATTTCTAAGATTTATAGTTGTCCTGCAGTAAGATATGTTGCAGCCATTACTAATTAGATTTAATCATTTGAATAATGTAAGTCTGTAATTGGATGTAAACCGGCTAACTTCATTTCTTGTAAGTAAATTAAGCACAATCACACCCTCCAAAGATTTTGTGGCTCAAAATATTTGTTATTTGCATCATAACGAATGTCCTAATTTAGAAAATGAAACTTTTTCTTCTGTATTCATATAGTATACATCACGAATACAAGCATTTGTCACTAATATTGCAACCTCACGTTGAAATCATTTAAATCGAAGACTGTGGGGTTTGAACTCTTTGTCACTATTCATTTCAATATCACTAGCATGGTATTTATAATGACAGTGACAAAACTGGGCCCCGACTCTTACCCTCCGTTCTTTATAAACAATCTTAAGCTGCAATGTCGATCCCTTCGACTCATTACGCAACAGAAGGGGCTGAATGAGTGACTGTTGCTAGTCAGTAATACCATTTTAAAAGTATATGTGTAATTGCAGTCTTCATGAAATAATGTGTTGTGATCAAGAATCAGAATAGAAAAAATACTCCAATGATCAAAAGTTTGAATCTGGACTATTTTAAAGTTAAATTAAGGGATCAAGACAAAACGTTCAATCCACTTTATCGTTTGTGCAACTTGTTAAAAAAATAAGACCTTGGTTCAACGAAGGTCATTCATCTATACCGTTTGAAATTCCTATGGTTTGGCTTCAAACATTATTACATTGATATTACATTGATTTTGATTTTTATCCGAGTAAAATATCTGTATTGAAAAAGAAAGACATCTCATGATCTGTCATAAATGAGCTCCAGACCACGTGGACCAATGGCTCCGATGTCAATAACACCAGCAGCATTACCAGAGAACACTAATAGTTCTCCCTCTGCTTGAAGTAAAGAAAAAGATCAAAATATTATGGGACAACAGGGACGATTCACTATATTGTAATGGGTCTCCAAAGCCACAGAGAAGCACCGGGAAGTTACAGTTGATTGAAAAGAATACATTTAGTGCCACGATAAAAATAAAATAAAAGGCCCAGTAATTGACTTGCAGAACGTTTTTCAAACCTCTTTGCATATCAAGCTCGAAATAATGTAGCAGTTTGGTCGCCGTCATGGACAAAATTGGACCTTATTTTCAATAGATTGTTCAAATAAGTTTGTTGCTATTAGAAACAAAAATAAAACACCTCTTCAAAAGTCCATATTCACCAACTAATTAAAATGACAGGCAGAGAAATTTCAATACGAATCTTTCTTTCGCTAATAGATTGTTCGAAAAATTTTAGAGATGTAAGCTATTTTGACCATTCTCATTCTGAATACTTTCCTGGAAACGTAGAATCACTAAAGGAAGAACAAGAACGATTTTATCACGACAGAAAACAGATAGAAATTAGGTACTAATGACAAAGGAATATCTTCAAGAAGTTTACTTGTGTTAGTGTTTAATTAGAGATAACACTACCCTGGAGCATAAAAGTCAGTCAGCGTTCATGGTTAACAAGACGAAGAAAATATATTTTCTGCAGTGTTTAATGTTTTAATATTTTACTATTCATTTTAAACTACTGTATCAATACTATAAATATTTTGTCATATTTTACAGTGTTTTATGTATTGCAAAATATGATTACTAGGCATATAGAATACTCCTCAGAAGTAGATGCATCTCTGCATAGCAGTAGATGCTTCTCGATGAAGAAAAGATTTCAAATTCATCCATAAACAACAATACTTTTAAAGGTTGATATGGCAAACAGAGCGACACTATGCACTGGCCCTTGACAGATGGCGTTGTATAAGTGAAGACTGCAAGACAGCCCATGATCAACGCAAATACGGAAGGATCACTTCAAATTAGGATGCAGCTTCCTTCTAAATCTTCAAGAGCGCTGGGTTCGCAGAATCTCATACCTCCAAGTGGTGTCGGAGGCCTTCTTAGTGTCAAATAGCCTGGTTACAAGTTGATTCACGACGCACGAGATAGAGATTTGTTGCCAACTCACCATGATACTTCAAAATAGGCCAATGTCTTCTGTATATGTATTGGATTAGTGAAAGCAGATTTCTGCACTGCAAGGTCCAGATCATACACTTGATTTACGTTTTCCAACACTTGCATACGAGCGTCTGGTCAGTAGCTCAATGGCAACGATCACACTTTCTTGGCTTGTAAGAGCCGGGACGTTAATGGTATTTTATCAGAGAGTAGGGATGGCAGTTCTTCCCAGATGCAATTACAAGGCCGATGAAGGAATTGCAAAGTCGTTTCAGGAAGCTGTAATTTAGGTTGTCAATTTCAAGACCTGCGTAATATCAAGGTAAGACCTGCGTTAATTTAAAGGTAAAGCAGTGTGAATTTCATACAATGGAGAATGGTGTGTTGTAAATCTCAGCCGCTCAGCTAGAAACTTCCAATCCAAGGTTCTCTATTAACAGCAAGAAAGTTTGGACCGTACTTCACCGAATTCAATATTTTTTTCATAGCCAGACGACTCCCTCTACAATAAATGTTTCGAGATGTCCATTTTTAAAACAATCTGGCTGTGTGTTTGGGGATAAATATCCTTTATTTAGACATACCTTCCTATATGATACCACATGGCAATTGAGAGAAGAGATGAATGCTCTACATAACGAATTTCTTCTTTCTAAAATGGTTTCTCACTTTCACCCTTTTTATTCGATTGAATTTTCCACGGTTAGATACTTCTTTAGTCTCACCACAGCCATTTTACGGGCACAGTTTGAACAGTTCAAATTTCGTCACGAGACAACGGAGTGCGTTTTACTGCTTGATTTAGAAATCCCAAAGAAAACAGCAAGTTTCTTCTTTGCATTTAGGAGTCTTTCTCAATACAGTTGATATGTATGATACAGTATATAGTTTCATCCACATTGTCGAAGCGATCAGCTGAGATGTGGTTAAACGATGACCATTCAACACATTGCACAATCCGCGGAGACGGTGACACTGATCCCAACTGACAAGAATTAACATGCGAATGAAAGAAAACCTTATTTATTCAAATAAAGCATTTTTAAATGCCTTATATTTGGGTAAAAATGGGATTCCTTTATATTTTATTTTTGATAGGCATACTTGAGCCTAACTTGATTTTTTTCTGTTCCTAGTGGTTTAAACTAAGATTTCAATGAATAAGAAAATTAATGTTCATTCCACTTAAATGACCAAGTCAAAATTTATTGGAAACGAAATACAAAATTACTCACCGCCCATTCTCGGATCAGCTCTTCCCAATGAGTAAGTGAAGAAAGCACCATCAGGAACTGGTCCCACAACTCTGGTGAAATCACTACATTTAAATTTGCTTTAATCCACGTTACGATTAGAGTCTATAATAAAACAAAATAAAGGGCATTTATGAATGTCCTACCTTTATTTCGATTTTCATAAAGGTAAGATTATTGAAAAGTTGTCTCATAGTAGTATAATTACAGTGGTAGTAAAATATGGGTAATAAGTAATCGCAGCCACCCTAGAACACCTACCTGAAAAATGGCTGGAGCCAATTTGCCGCCCAGAGTTTCTTCTTTCCGTTTCGGAGGAGTCTTACTTAAGATTAAAGATGTAATTCGAAGAAGTACTAGCAGTAGCTGCTCCCTAGTAAACAAATAGTTCAAAACTGTATACACTAAATAGATCCTCTCTTCTATTTTTTCCTTTTTTCATTTTTTACTTTCTCGCACTTACTAATGTAAGAAGAGAAAGTATTGCTTTCATGCGCCGGAAAATGGCGAATGTTCGACACAAAAACTCTGAATTGGTATAGGGGTTGTGGTGCGTTATCGTTGGCATTTTTCATGAAATAATTATAGACATTGTCATTGCCAATGTCGAAATTCGACATCGAAAGCTGCTCTTATATTAAATACTATTGTTGGCAATGACAACGTCTGTAATTATTTCTCTGAATTAGTAACGAAAAAGTGGATAAATCCAGTTGCTAAATTTAAAAGAAGAAAAAACCTGTAATACGTGGTGTAGCCACCATCCAGAATCCAGGTTTTGTAAGTCCTTCATACCGAAACGTCTGTCTATTCGTGTGTGCACAATGCTAGCGCATAAACCGTTGTCATGGCTGATGTCGCGGCCACTGGCATTTGAGGCCGATATTTTAATTTTGTGGAGTACTTCACATGAAGCCCCTGAACATATTCAAAATTTTAAAAAATGGCTCCAAATGTTCGATTAAATTTTGTTGTCGATTAGTAGAAAGTTTCACTTAAAAACAAAAAAGGTTTGAGAGCGCGGATTCGTCATCGCCGAGCACATCCCGTTTGCCCAGGACATGTCTTCGTCGCCTCGTATCGAATTTCGTACAACGCAGCGAAACGTGTTCCACACCAAGAACCGTCCTGCACGAATCGAAGATTGGGGGAGATTCACCTCGAAAAAGAAAACCAAGAGAAATGTGGAAGAGTTCCATTCGAAGAGAGGTTAAAATTGCATCCTCACGCCCAGACGGTCGGAATGACGAACCCCACAGTTTAAAAAAAATCCTTCATCACACTCAGTTTGAAAATGGTAGTGTGCCACTGCTTGCCACACTAAAGATGGATTGTGTTAATAAAGCCTCAACATCGGACGATAGTACCTCAGGATCGTCAATTCAAGTCTTCCGCGTCGCTGATTTTGCCGCTTGGTGAGCCGGTTCATTCCCTGTGATTCCCCGCATGACCTCGCACCCAGTGAGTGCGAGATCATAATGGCAGGAGACGATGCATCAGGTTTTGAACTGATTTCGTCAGGTAATCAGAGGAAGAACGGGAGACTGCTTGAAGAGAGCTGAGAGAATCAGAGCAGAGAACTACTCGCCGCAGCGTCGCAGACTCCATGTGCTTTAAGGCTTCGAGAATTGCACACTTTTATGCAGTGAAAACACTGCACTGGCAACGGAATCAATGACTTCCTGGCCCTGATGCAGTAAAAGCTACATCCACGAGTGTACGAATGGTCTATATAAGCGAAGAAGGGTAATGCGGTCGGCACCCAATGACGTACCACTCAGCATTCGAAGAAGATTAAGGGGGAGCAGACATAGCTTGCCTCTATTCAGCTGATATGAGCAAGCAATGTGAGGAATTTGTCAAACTTGAGCCCCAAGAATCTAGCAGATTCAGCGAATGGAAGCTTATTTCCTCCCAAGTAAAGGACTGGATTGCTATGCAAGTGGTATATCCTGCAGAAATGCACACCAGTAGATTTAGTAGGAGAGAAGTTGAATCCTGTTGACATACTCCATTCGTGGGGCTTGTTGAGCACAAATTGTAGTTTCCTTTGGATCACACTGATGCTGCTGGACAGAAAGATAGCAAAATCATCCATAACCAGCTATGCCTTTACAGGTTCTGGCACGGTCGACGCTATACCATTTATGGCAAAGGCAAAACAGTGTGACAGCGAACTGATATCATTTTCTTGAGGGACTGCTAGAAAGGCGAACACGGAAGGATCTGTTCGAGAGGACTTTCTGAAGGAATAAGAGGAGCTTCCCTCTAAATCACCAGGAGTGCAGGGTTGGCGTAAGTAACTCCAAGTGGTCTCGTAGGCCTTTTCTATGTCGAATATAATGGCCACAAGATGTTGCCTCAAGACATGGAGAATGGAGTATTGTAATCCTCCTCAGAAGCTCTGCTCGAAATATCCAAAGCGCGAATTTTCATTCTGTCTTTGAGTAAAGGAAAATCTGGAGCATAGTTAGCTGAACACGACATGTTTTCGTAATTGACGTCAAGTTCCCCTACAATTGCGTCTTCAGATGTGATCACCTCACCATTCTGAAGGCCCGGCAGTGAATTCGGGGAGGAATATCCCATAATTTGACGCACCTTCCTCCATATTAGACGTGGTGGCGCATGGTAATTGAAGGAGGAGACGTATGCTCTCCATGCTGAATTTTTGCTTTCTAGAAAGGTTTTCCTCGCCTTCGTTCTGCACCTCTTGACCTCGTTCTGCACCTCGGACAGACTTGACTTTCGCTTGAAATTTCAACCCAGTCAGCACATTGTACACACCATTGAGGGGGTAGAGTCAACCCATGAACACGTCCATTAATGTACACGAGTAATTATAATGGTAATGGTAGCTTCCATACAGACCATCTAGAAAAGACCGTTGCAGGACGGTTGCAAGTGATGGGCTGCAGATCGATACACGTGCTTGAGTTTGTAGCCTCGGCGAAGTGAGTTCGTTCACCTGAGTTCAGAACTACCAAGTTCAAGGCGTCTATCGCTGATTATAATGTTTCCGTTCAGACATGTGCGGGATGATCCCTAATAAGAACTGTGGGCATTTACATCACCGACTACCAAGAACGGAGAGGGCAGTTGGTATAACAAGCCTAAACATTCATCGGCGGATACACTCTGCCCTGGAGGAATGTAGATGTTACAGTGAGCGTGAGAGATGGGAAGTGCCATCCCTCACGTTCACTGTCACACAATTCCCTATTTTCATTAATTTAATGTTCATGAAAGTATGCAACTCGATCCTCTACAGTTTTTTGAATTTTCAAATTTATTTACGATAAAGAAAAACGCCTTTTTGTGCCAATTTTTTAGCTCGAAGCATTGTCATTATTGTTCAGCGTGCGGTGCAAGGTCGGTCGACGCGCCCGCCGTGCTGTTTACTTTTTCAGGTGCGGGATCCTTGCGCTTGGGAATGGTAATAAATCTTTTGAAATGAGGTTTTGAAATGTAGAAGAAATCTTCAAAAAGGAAAAAAGGTGGATATTCGGAATGCAGTGTGCCTCCTTCAGAGGCGCGGGCACGGGCGGCGCGCGTGGCAAGGCCGGCGGCCGCAATCACACGGCACTTTTGCACGCACCGAAACAAAGAGGGAAAAATAGCTCATGGGCTTCCAAATACCATATAGAGTTCTTTAAAGTTTAGTAACTTCCAAATCCGCTTCATTTCTCTACAATATATTCAATGCAGCCTCACAGTGAATAGTAAACACAGAACAATGCAGCTCAAGCGTGGGTCGTTAAGTGGTGGCGCGCAACGCTATTTTAGTATATTGCAGTGCAATAGTTAAATTATTCGAAGCAAGTTCTTTAAGTAGGGTCTTCAAGCTTTCACTTCATCTAAATTAAAAACATTTTGAATCAAAAATTGCAGGGCAATGGCTATATGAAGTCTCTATTTCCAAGATTTTAACGTGAAATGGATCATAATTAGACAAATGTAGCACTGTTTGAATCGAACAAATTATGTTTGATGATCCTAAAAGTGTTGTAGGGTAACGTGGGAACCACCTCAGCCCATCATCGGTTGATCAGAATACAATTAAATAATATTTATTAGTTATTTTCTAGAAATAGCGAAAAAGGGTAATAATTAGGGAGTTTATGTGGTTTCTGGTACCATTTAAAAGACAGTTTTAATGGTGACGATGTTCTTGCATAGAAAACTATCATTTTTGGCTAAGCCATTTAATTTTATTTTTTTGATACAGCATAACATGAGGCGGGGAGGACGTGGCAGGGAGGGAGGGATAGGAAGTGACGGTGAGGGGGAGGGGGAGAGAGAGGGGTGTGAGACAGAGGGAGAGAGACAGGGAGGGGTGTGAGACAGAGGGAGAGAGAGAGGGAGGGGTGTGAGACAGAGGGAGAGAGAGGGAGTGGTGTGAGACAGAGGGAGAGAGAGGGAGTGGTGTGAGACAGAGGGAGAGAGAGGGAGGGGTGTGAGACAGAGGGAGAG